CCCACGTCCGGCTCCGGGGTTCATCTCACCACGGGGAAACGCGCAGCGTGTACGCGAAGGAAGCTCGAGGGAAAGCGTCCGTGCTCCCCAGGGAAGAGACGGGAACTGGCGGACATCCGGTACTTCTCCCGAAACCCCCACGAGCAAGGAGCAGTATATCCAGTGCGCAGGGGGAGGAAATTAGGCTGAGGTACTTGCTTACGTTTGCATCAATACAACGCTCAGAGTACTTTAAAATGCATTATTTTCCGAGATGTCTCCGCCAGTCAGTAGTAGGGAGCAGGGGTCTGGACACGGGCACTGCTCGAGTCTAGGCCCTTAGGACCGTCTCGTGGGGCGCAGCACCGGGAACAGGTGCAGGAACGTGCCCTGGGCCTGCAGGGGCGAGGCCGGGAGAGTGGGAGCCCGCTGTGAGCTGGCGGCCGTAGGGCGGCGTTTGGGTCCGCTGAGGATCGCCCAGTGTTCGCGGAGGGCGAGGGGATGCTAACCGGTGAGAGGACACGACGGCGTTGCTCCCGGGTTTCCTGTCAAAACAGAAGGCCAGCCCTCCCGCTTTTAGAGGGTCTTGAGGGCCAGAAGCGGACTTCGAGATGACCCGAGGCCGCATCGCTCCAAGCCCAAGCGGCCGGCGTCCGAGCGCAGTGAGAGCCCCCTCCCTGCCCTTTGCCTGGAATCCCGGCAGCGGTCCGGAACCAGTTCTGCAACCAGAGCGCTCGAGACCACCTTGGGAAGCGTTTACAGACGGGGGACGCCATACTCCCTTCGTTCGTTAGCTGTCTGCTGGGTTGTGGGGTGCAGGGGGCGGGTCCTTTGAGTTTCCACGTGGGCTACGACTCATTAGGCTGGCGATCCGTTCAGTGAGTTGCCGCTAGCAGGTTCAAAGCGTGGAATTCAGTGGAAAGGAAGAGGAGCCCCTCAGGACGTGTTGTGAAGTGCGCGCGCGCACGTGTGTGTCTGTTGCTCCGCGTTGCCGTCCTGCTGCGTCTGCTTGGGTGTTCGCACCCACCTGGCTGCCCCGCCGGCCTTCCAGGCTACCCCGCTCTGGTCACGGTGGGGGACCGTCTTGTTCCCATTGCGCCTTCTGGAAAATGTCGCCTTCCTCATTCTGTTGGCCCCCAGATGTTGAGGTATTTCATCCACCTGAACTCGTCTCTGAATTCTTTATTTTTGTCTTTTTTTGGTAGCCACAGTCCACTATATTAGTTCACATTATTTAAGGAAAACATAAGGTTCCTCGTTTTTAGCTTGCAAGAGGGAAATGTTTTTGTTGCTTGGAGTACCAAAAAATATCAGAACAGTATTCTCATGATGTTGATCTAATGTATTTAAGGAAACATTACCATGCCAACTGTGATATTTAGAAGATTACCAAATAATACCTCATTGTGTCATTTTCTGGCTAACCTTTTGTTTAAAAAAATTTTTTTTTGACTTTAAAGTTTAATTTTACTTTTGATTTTTTAATGTCTCCAGTGTGACAGCGACTTGGCTTGGTGTTTTCTAATGTACAGTCTACTTAAGTTCTTGCAGTAAAATGACTTGTTATTTCCATTTTCCAAAGAGGAGGTTCCCAAAGCCGGGGACCTACAGCTCAGTCAGAGTCACTGACCTCCTCCCATCAGCAGAGAGTCTGAAGTCAGTCCTGACTTTGTAGTTTACAAACTCTCTTGCTATCCCCAAGGATAAAGAGGAGAGAGGGTGGATGCAGTGAAGCCCTGTTCCTGTCCCTTCTCGCCATCACCCCTCAAGAGGAAGACAGGGGATAGTTACAGAATTGTGGCAGCAGCTACAAATCTGGGAGGATCATCCATGAGATCCATTTTATGTCTGAACACGAGATAATAATACTAGGCTGTTGGGCTCACAGCAGAGTCAATGGTCTAATTCTGCATTTAGGTTCAAAGAGTCAGTTTAAAAAGTAAAGGATAGAGGCGCCCTGCTGAGCAGCAGTTCAACAGAAAGAAAAACCCTGAGGAGGAGGAACTCCACAGACTCCCAGCCCCGAGTGAACCACAGTGTGAAGCAGCTGCTCACAAGCCAATCTGGGGCTGCAAGAGCAAGGACCTGCCTTTCCTCACAGGCATGTGTGTGGAGCTTGTGATGTGCAGTTAGGATGTCTCCCATTTTAACTCGACTCCTGTAACGACCCATGAGATAAGGAATATCATCACCATTCCCATCTGACAAATGAAGAAGCGGAGGCACAGAGGGATTAAGCCATTTGCCCAAGGTTGCCTCGCCAGTAAATAGCAGCGCTGTGATCTGAGCCTGGGTCCTTCACCACCACCTGCTCCCTCCCTGTGGTGTTCGGGCCACAGTTGCCCAGGGTCGGCTCTACTGATGATTCATTCCGGGCAGCACATGCATAGAGTCCAGGGAGTATCCAGAGGAAGGTGACCTGGGTGATGAGGGAGTGTTTCGCCTGGCAGAGAGGAGCCTTGCCAGATTTGGGAGCCAGTCCTCCGTTATCTGGGGAACAGGAAGTAGGTGTGTTCCTAACAGCAGAATCAGGACCAGCAGGCAAACCAAGACTTTGGAGAGGATGGCATCCCCCTGGGTGAGTGGGGATGTTTAATTTTATGTTTCTTTTCTTTTTTAATTTTGAAGATGTGGGGTACAATTCAGGGTTAGGTGTACAAATGTCCATTATGTAATTTTACTTTTCTGAAATCCCCTTCCAATGCCCAAATCCTTCCATTTTATCAAAATGTGAGGGTAAAAATGAACTTTAAAAATAATTGAAAATTAACAGCCTGTCCTAAACATTTGTGTGTGTGCGCATAAATAAAATAAGATACTAAATTGAACTGACCGAGGCACACTTTCAAGTAATGCGGCATTCCAAGGGAAAGTGCTAGATCACCAAGTAGAAATGTCAGGGTAGGTAAGTGAGAGTCTCTCCGTAACTAGTGAGCCACTGACTGGCCACTTCAGGAAAATGAGCATTGAGTGAGAAAGTTTTGTCCATCGATTTCTCCAGGTAGATCTGTTGCCATTTCCTTTATTCCCAGCCGAGTGAGGGGGGCTTTGGGGGGAATGTGAACTGAACTGCATGAGTGCTTTCTGCCCTTGGGGCTCACACATGGACCTGGGCAGCCGAATCACTCCCTTCCCAGGGGGTGTGGGGCAAAGGATGTCTGGAGATATCCTGGGGCAGGTGGGGCCACGTGGGAGGAGGGGCTGGGCTCCTGCTCCGGTGAGGGCATCAGCTGAAAGCAGGCGAGTTTCACTAAAGCACCTGTGGTGGAAAGGGGGGAGGATTGTTAGTTCAGTCCTGTCCTCCTTCTTTGAGCTTGGAGGGGTGAGAAACTGGCCAGCAGTTGTGCAGATGATGGAGAAAGAGAATAGAAGTCTACCTTCTCCAGCCCCAGCAGGAGACCAGCAGGTAACAGGAGTAAGCTGGAATAGGAAAGATTACATGTTACAACTTTTGTTTTCATTCCAGAGGCATTTTCATTCTTTGGGGACTTTTTTTCTCTTCATGAGACAGGGTCCTGCCCAGGGTGGAGTACAGAGGTGAGATCACAGCTCCCTGAAGCCTCAAACTCCTAGGCTTAAACAGTCCTCCCACCTCAGTCTCCTGAGTAACTGCAGGTGAGGGCCACCACGCCTGGCTCAGTTTCTGTAGAGATGAGATTTGCTTTGTTGCCCAGGATGGTCTGAAACTTGTAGCCTCAAGCAGTCCTCCCGCCTCTGCCTCCCAAAGCATTGGGATTGCAGACGGGAGCCACCGCACCTGGCCTCTTTTGGGACTTCAAAGTGGTTGTATGAGCAGAAGGTGTAGGATCTGCTCAAGTGTTCGCTCGAGGGCAGGGGAAGATGAATCCCTTAAATACATTTTAAGGGGCAATAGAAGACAAAAATAAAATCGACGTCTGGTCGGGCCCTGCACAATGGGCTAACTCAGAGTCTAGGTTACACATGCTTGGGTTAAAATAGAAAGGAGTAGCAGCCTGTGCTTGACGTTACATTTGCTTCTGACAAAGGAAGACTTAGAGGCAGGAGCAGTTAGAAAAGGAAAGAAAGTGTTAACTTCTCCAGAGTGCAAGGGAGTCAGGCTTCATAAGACCAGGTCATCAAATACAATCACAATAAATGCTTGAAGGAAAATATCCGCCCAAGTCACCAAGATTCTCAAGGTACATCAGTCTGCTGTTCATTGAAAACAACTTCTCACCCGATGGTCTCGTTCCCAAATCATGACTTATTTTCCGACATCAGCATTTCAAACACTCAAGGAAAAAGATGGTATTTGTTAGGGAGTGGGGTGTGTTTGAAGTTTTATATCCTGGGGGCCAACTTACAGACAGCATGACCACGTTATCTTTGGCTTATCTCAGGGTACAAAGAAATTTTTTTTTTTGAGTGGAATATGATAAGTGCTTAGTCCTCTTGGAAAGAGGAGAAAGCGTGCATTTTTGCTTCTCCTCCTTTGCAGAGATGAATCTTCAGTCCATTGCAGCATGGCTGAGATGTCAAGTAAGAAAAGCAGAAGTTGAGAATCTTTCAGAGATGCTAAAATGATGGGTGTTAAAATCTGGTTTAATTGTTATTGTGTTTCTGTTATCAAGACCTATGTCATTTTTGCCTGCCTAGAGAACATTAGTAAAATTTCATAACCAGTCAAGTGAAAATAGTCTGTAAGTTTCAAATAATTATTCTTCCGCAAGGTGCATTTGTTTTCTTCTTGCGTGTCCTTGGTAATAGTAAAAACAGCCGCCATGTGAAGGCAGGCGGACAGAGGGAGGGGCTTCCCAAGGATGAGCTCTGAAGTTGTCTGGTCCTTTGAGAAAGAAGAAGTGGGAGATGTGTCAGAGGCTGTGGTTGTAAGCGTTTCCTCCTGTCATTCTACAAATCTTTGTATAGATCGTTTCAGAAAATATTCTGTTTTGTGTGGAGGGGAAAAAAGGAAAGAGGAGAAAGAAATTTAAGAGGAATATCTGGAAACTATTATTATATACACTTACATCATATCTCTACCAGTGCTTTGAAATTTCCACTAAATTACCCCAGTGAGAGAGGAGAGTTAACCCATCTTGCTGGGATTCTGAAGCAGAGGCCAAGAGTGGCAGAAGTAAACATGTATTTGATACTTGCAGTTTACTCT